CATTTCTTCAGTTTTGTTGATCCTAGCATACCATTCTCGTACAGTGGGAACATGTGTTGAGCTCCAGTGTACTGGGATACATTGCTTTGCAGCATTCACCATGTGCATAGTGAGTGACTTACGGTATGTCCGAAATGGAAATGCGGTATGGTGTAGCAGAAATTGTGCGGGGGAAATGTCTAGGGCATACGTGGTAACTTGTGTGATTGTAGATTGAACTTTCTTCCAGAAGGGTTGCAACAATGGGCATTCCCACCAGATGTGCAGGAGTATACCCACTGTTTTATGGCATCTCCAACACAAATCAGGAATGTTGGAGTTTTTCCATAGTCACATATGTAATCCTTTCTTAAGAGGGAACCTGTACTGAGAGAACTGGTAATGAGAGACTGTCATTGCCCCCAGCCAGAACACACCGATCAGCGCTCGCAACCATTGGCTGCCAGTACTGATTGGATGCCGATCAAATACTGCTTTTAAAAGTCACATATGTATTCTTTTCTTAAGAGGGAACCTGTACTAAAAGAACTTGTAATGAGAGACTGTCCTTGCTGACCTTCTAAAATAATAGTTGACGGCACCAAGAACTGACCCAGAACAAACATGCAGAAGTGCTCTAGATTCCCATATTTTTTCTGGGACATTAACGTATAACAATAAATTACAGATGGATTAAAGATAAATAAACTAAATTCCAGTCAGTTGATAAAACTGCCCCCCACCCCCACAAACTAAGGCTCTGATGTAGCAGAATTGGTTACTTTATTCCTTGCTTTCTCCCCACAATATCAATGGTGTCACTATGCTTCTCCTTTCATGCTGTGTTACTAACTTCATCATGTACAATGGTACGGAAGAAAACCCTATTGGCTTGGGAGTGGGAGTGGTTAGGCTAGCAGCTAAAGGAAACAGGTGTACATTTGGAATTGTATTCATAAGGATAAGTGTTCTGTTTTTACCCAAATCAAAAAATCAATTGTTTGCGGCCCTCATAGCCGCCAACTAAACAAGCATTGCCACAATTATTCAACACCTTTACTATGAAGAACAGAGGCCATACAGGTGCTTTCCATCAGGTATTGGAAACACCTATGTCCATGTCATTTCATCTGTCCGTAAGCACCAATTAGGGCTTTAAAAAACTGTGAGACCCATGTATTTCTATGGACTATCGGATGTGTGGTTACCAACAGATGGATCAGTCTGTTTCAAGACCAAGAGAAGAGGTCCGTGTCCTTTAACAGGAAGGGCAATGGCTATAAGAAGATTGCAAAGATGTTAAACATACCAACGGAGAAGGCTAAAACCCATTTTTCTTCCGCAAAAACCCAGAACGGACAGAAAAAGATGCTGACTTCAGACTGCTGTGCGGTAGAAAAAGAAGTAAACGGATGAAAACGGATTTGTCACGGATGAAAACGGATGTAAATGGATGAAAAACAGATGTAAGAAAGCAGATCAAGGAAATGGACATAATGGAAACTGTGGGATGAAAACAGATGTAAAAGGATGGATCAAAACTGATCCATTTTTTTTTCTTTGTTTTTTTTCATCAGTTCGGTGTTATTTTGGAAGCAAAACGGATGCAAAATGTCCCACTGAAAAACAATGTAAAGCAGATGGAAATGGGATGGAAACTGGATTAAAACAGACTTCAGTTTCGGTGTTATTTTTCGAAACGCCTGTGTGTGAAAGGGGTTCTGCTAAATGGGGATGTTTCTCAGCTGATTGAAGGTCCGCTTTAAATAATATTAAACCCCACACTAAAAAATGTAATATATTGCAGGCTACCAATTGGATGTTGTGGCTGCATTAACTTTTTTTAGGCTTTTTTCCCCGTTTTCACCTGGTTATCATGGTCAGTAACACCACCTCCTGTATTAGAGTGCCCACTCTGGATAAATGAGCACAGGGGGGCACCTTTTAACAGTGGCAATAATGTCAGTCTGAAGATGGGCGAAGGAGAGTGTTAGATGTACTAAAATAAAAATGTAAATGGTGCTTGTGCTAATCCAATTTCACAATATCACATAGTCAAAATGTGGTAAATACAATGTCAAATAATACCAACCCCCAACGATTGAAACAAATGGTTAAACTGGATGAAAAACAACTGATAGTAAAAAACGCCTGTGTGAAAAAACATTTGAACGTAAACCCCCCTAGCCTGGTTATCTGGTCAGTCCTGTATTATGTCCATATTTCTGTGCTCAAAGCGGCTAATTCCAATTTCACAATTTTTGTGGTAAATACTAATAATGGTCCCTAGCAGTCTGACTATGTCCAATTTCTGTGCTCACAGCGGTACAATTTTTTGCATGGAAATTTTTTTTTATTGTAGGCCTGTCATTTTTAGGAATAACTCACTGAGATCTGTCCGAAGAAGAGTCTAGTAAACATCCCGGGTATGATAAAATTTGAAACACGAAATCATAAATTATAATTGAATAAATAATCATAAAAATAATAATATAATAATAAATTTAATTCAATAATATAATCAAACCAAAAACACTGAAATTTTAAATATAGCTCCAAGTTCACACATCGCTGAGCAAAGTCGCAAAATCGTTTTCAGTGTCTGATGACAAATTTCCCCACGAATCATCACTCAATTCTGCAAGTGGTTCTGATTTACTATCGCTGTTCTCTAGCTGGTCTAAAACCAATTTTGACCTAAAGGGACGCTTTTTGGACACCATGGACATTTCTCAGTTTCCAGGCAGAAAAGAACAGTAAAAATGCAGGCAGGGCACAGGACAAAGCACTAGGGACAAAATGTATGTGAAATGCTTTGATACAGTAACGTTTTACTATGTGATTTTAGTGTATTTAGCGAATGTCACTTTTTGTCATTTTCAAATTTCCCGCCAATTCTGTCTTCCGTACTTCTCGACGCTCGCAGGGGATGGAACCCAGATGACAGATGCCGGCATCCGCCGGAGGACATTACGGGGACACTGCAGGAGGGACATCGCAGGACAAGGTAAGTGAAGAACAGATCCCAGAGCAGCACCGCATGGTAAGCCCGAGTGTAGCTCAGGGTTAATGCTTGTGGTACTGAAACTTTACCCCAAGCTACACTCGGGAATACCGCCAGGGAGGCTACAATATATATATAGAATAGAATAGACAAGAAAACCATAAAACCAACAAAATATGGTCTTGTGAAATGGTGATCTATCCCCACAAAACAAAGAGAGCATTCATTTAGTTACAATAGTGAATATGTAATCACATATAGCAAATCTATAGAATAGAATGGACAAGAAAAACACAAAAAGACTGTCCAAGTGTGGTCTTGTGGATAGTGATTTTCTAGGTACACACATAGCAAAGGCGTCACTAATGTACGCTCTAGTGAGAATTAATAGTGAAAACAAAATATGACCATACATGGTCTATAATAGTGAAAATAAAGTGACCTGATTCACTAAATGGGATCAAAACACATACGTGACATCATGACTACGCCCAAACACCATCATAAACAAAAAAAAAAGATGTAGATGTACTAGCAGTTTTAAATATACTAACAAATTGAAGGCAAACTCCAGCTCACATTGCAGTTGCACAAACCATTACTGCAACAGTTTTTTTTTTCCTTTTGTGGTAAAGGTTTTTTATATGAATAAATAAAAGCTGATCATGGTAAGCCTCTTGGTAAAGGGTTTGTCTCAACACTAAACTGCTACATTTTTTCTGTTGAAAAACAGCAGACTTACTGACTGGATAAAGGAAAAAAAAAGCCTAAAAGAATAAAATGAATGCAGCCACCATATCTAAGAATTGGTAAGCTGCATTATGTTTGATTTTAGGTTTAATACCACTTTAAGTTTTATTCACAGATCTCAAATGCTACTAATGTACTACCAAATCTGTGCAAAAGAAGCAGAATGTGCACCACAATGCCAACTCACTGAAAGGCTGGGTCTGGCTGAACAATGCGACTTTGAAGATGTCCAAAAATAGGTCCATATCTGTATCTTGTTACAGTATAAAACGTATTATGCACAATACAAATTTCTCATGCTTTGTACTAAGATTGAACGTACAATGTATGCGTTTGCTTTTTTGGAAACAAAACGTTCTTTGAAAAACCCAATAAAAATCTATTGATGGTAATAAAAAAACTACTATAAATACTACCATAGAGCTTATTGTAAATGCTTGCCAAGATAATCTTGCAACAGTTTTAATATTTTGGACATTATCCCTGTTTAGGTTGGGGGCCTGCAATTGATTAACTTAAATGTTTTCAAAGTCTTTCGTAAAAAGTAAAAATATTACTTTAAAAACGTTGTCAGATTTACCCAAATTAAAGTTTTTCACTTAGTTGTACAAGCAACAGTAACCTAACCTAGCGGACACATTCCTTGTCTCTTTACCAACTCTTACCTGAACAACCATTATTTTTGTTTTACCTCCACTACTATTAAAGAAGGTGAGCCATCTAACTTCTCTCTATATTTCCCCCATTGGATTATAAATCTGTGCAGTCATTCAGACAGTGTTGTGACTCTCCTCTTTTACTCTCAGCCTACTATAACAAGTCATTGTTTTACCCTGCTGATCCTATAGCATGGGAAATCCTCTACATTGAAAGCTTGTGTGGAATGTGGTGTGGGTGGCATTGTGAAACTTTGTGAATAAGCCACGTCGATCCTTGAGCTCCTACGGCCAGCGATAGTGATGTAATGCTAGAAACCATCTCTGTTTTGAGTGGGTAAACAAATAGTTCATTGTCACTTACAGGACTGTCAAGAGAAGATAAAACTTTCTGTGTATTTCTAGAAATAACAGTACCAAACAATTCTGTCCCTTTTTTTTTTTTAACCGCTTTCCCACCACCCTACAGCAGATATACTGCTACAGGGCATCAGGGGTGCGCAAAATCGCATGTATATACATGATTTTGGGAGAGCACCCTACCCGTGCCGCTATTCACGGCCCAGCTGTCAATCGCCAGCACCCGGTGATCAAGGAGCATTACCAACAGAGGGAGAGAACTATAAGTAAACAATACAGTTCTCTCCTCTGACAGCTGCTGCACACTGCTATGTCATTAGTACAGTGTGGGTGCTTTTTATTAGCACTGATCACTGTATTGGTGTCACTGGGGATGTCAGTGACACTAAGTCAGTTTCCCCCAGTGTCAGAATGCCTACCGCAGTCCCGCAATAAGTCGCTGATCGCCGCCCATTACTAGTAAAAATGTAAAACATTTTTAAAAATCCCAGTATCTATACCGCCATTTGTAAATTTGATTTTTTTTTTACATTTTTTTACTTTACATGTTTAATAGCAAAAAGTAAAAAATATTGTGTTTTTTCTCAAAATTGTCAGTCTTTTTTTTTTTTTTTTAATAGCGTAAAAAATAAAAACATACAGGCGATCAAATATAACCAAAAGAAAGCTCTATTTGTGGGCAAAAAAGGACATAAATTTCATTTGGGTGCAGCGTTGCATGACTGCGCAATTGTCAGTTAAAGTAACACAGTGCTGTAACGTACCAACAGAGAGAGAGTAAGTAAACAATAAAGTTCTCTCCCCTGACAGCTCCTGCACACTGCTATGTCATTAGTACAGTGTTGGTGCTTTTTATTAGCACTGATCACTGTATTGGTGTCACTGGGGATGTCAGTGACACTAAGTCAGTTTCCCCCAGTGTCAGAATGCCTACTGCAGTCCAGCAATAAGTCGCTGATCGCCGCCATTACTAGTAAAAATCTTTACATTTTAAAAAAATCCCATTATCTATACTGCCATTTGTAAACGCTATCACTTTCACGTAAACCAATTAATTTACACGTATTGGGAGTTTTTTTAGCAAAGATGTTGCAGAATACATTTTGGCTTAAATTTATGACGAAATTAGATTTTTAAAATTTTTTTTTTACTGAACATGTTTAATAGCAAAAAGTCACAAATATTGTTTTTTTTCTCAGAAACAATTAAGTACTGTCCGTGATACTTTTTTTATTTGCACTAACATATAATTTTGAGGACAAGCTTTCGGGGTATGTCCCCTTCTTCAAGGTCCAAGCAGTACTATTACAATGTTTTAGCAGAATGTTAGAAGTTGGAGATGAGAGAAAAAAAAAAAGCAGAAAGAAACACAAGCCTAGGGTTAAACTAGAGATAAGATACAGCAAAGCAAAAGCAAAGACTGGGGGGGGGGGGGGGGGGGAGAACAACATCACAGAGAGAGTCATAAAAATGTCAGATAATGTTTGAGGAATCCCATGTCCAAATGAGAAAAACGGATTATGATCCGACCCAAGACTTTACAAAGCAATTAAAAGGCCTCAACACTTCCAGCCCACCTACATTCAGAACTTATAAATGCGATTCCTGATCATCCAGAAATCGGGGACTTCTACATGCCATCCAAAATCCACAAGCCAGGAAATCCAGGCAGACCCATCATAACAGGTATGAACACGCTCACCGAACAAATCTCAGGCTTTGTAGAAGAAATTTTAAAACCGTTAGTAAAGAATACTGCTAGTTTCCTGCAAGACACAACTGACTTTCTGAACAAGATCAACAACATCCAGCAATTACCATCTAATACACTTCTAGTGACTATGGATGTAGTATCCCTATATAGTAATACCCCCCACAAGGATGGATTAGCTGCATGTCACAGATCCTTATCATCCTCACCAAACCATAAATACACTGCTGGGAATGTTACACAGCTCATTGAATTCATACTTACACACAACTACTTTGCCTTCAATAAAGACATCTATTCTCAATGTATGGGTACTGCGATGGGCAGTAAAATGGCACCCCAATATGCCAATTTATTTATGGCTGACCTGGAGGAAAAATTCCTGAACAGCATGGAACAAAAACCATACAGATACTATCGCTATATTGATGATATTTTCATCATATGGACAGAAGGTGAAGAATACCTAAAACAATTTTACTCATTGATCAACACTTTTTATCCATCAATCAAACTAAAAATGGAATACTCAAACACACACGTCAACTTCCTAGACACCACAGTATACATCAAGGATGATATGCTTCACACCTCAATATACAGGAAACCCAACTGACAGATGCAACTACCTCCACAGTTCTAGCTTCCACCCCCAACACACGAAACGTGCCATCATACACAGTCAGGTCATTAGATACCACCGAATATGTTCTGACCCAAGAGACAGAGATACACATCTTGGGACACTAGCAGACTCCTTCCATAAGAAAGGTTACAAGGATAAAACTATCAACACCAGCATAAACACAGCCTTCAGGACTCGAAGGGAAAATCTACTTCAGTACAAAGAGAAAAAAACAAACAAACGTGTACCTCTAGTAACCACATACAACACAGCACTAGAAGGAAGAAGAAAAATAATCAAAGATTTACAACCCATTATAACAGAGGATGGAACTCTGAAAGAAATATTCCAGCAACCACCAATACTGGCCTTCAGACAACCCCCCAACCTCAGAAATAAACTAATCAGTAGGAAACTTCCTTCTGATTATGATGTCACAAATAATGGAAGCAAACCCTGCAATAAAAAACGATGCAAACTGTGCAACCAAATCAATCCATCAAAAAGTGTCAGACACTCAAAAGGGATCTTCAATATCTCCGGATCATACAGCTGCACCTCCAGTAATGTTGTGTACCTTATCCAGTGCAGAAAATGTAACAAAGGATCCTATGTTGGCGAAACAGAACAGAAGTTGCAAACAAGGATGAATTTGCACAGACACACCATCAAGGGACATAAAGAAGATAACTTTTGCACACCTGTGGGACACCATTTCGCACAACCAGACCACACTTTGGGAGACTTCAATGTTTTATTTCTGAAAGGAAATTTCAAATCCATTCAGGAAAGAAAAACTTTTGAACTAAGAATGATAATTCTATTTGACACAAGAGATAAGGGCCTTAATTTGGACATGGGATTCCTCAATCAATATCCAACATTTTTTTATGACTCTCTCTGTGATTGTTGTTCCCCCCCCCCCCCCCCCTTCCCAGTCTTTGCTTTTGCTTTGCTGTATCTTATCTCTAGTTTAATCCTAGGCTTGTGTTTCTGCTTTTTTTTTTTCTCTCATCTCCAACTTCTAACATTCTGCTAAAACATTGTAATAGTACTGCTTGGACCTTGAAGAAGGGGACATACCCTGAAAGCTTGTCCTCAAAATTGTATGTTAGTGCAAATAAAAAAAGTATCACGGACAGTACTTAATTGTTTCTGTCACAAGTGCACTAATACGGCTACAATCACCTCAAGCAAAATGTTTTTTTCTCAAAATTTTGGGTCTTTTTTTTTATAGCGCAAATACAGGTGATCAAATACCACCAAAAGAAAGCTCTATTTCGTGGGCAAAAAAGGCTGTAAATTGAGTGCATTGTTGCATGACCGTACAATTGTCAGTTAAAGTAATGCAACGCCGTACCGCAAAAAATGGCCTGGTCCGGAAAGGGGGGGTACCCCCCCCCCCTTTCCGGACCAGGCCATTTTTTGCGATCCTCTGGAGGGCAAGTGGTTAACTCTTGATTTCAGCTTGGGGATGTTATCCAAGATAGATATACCTGCATCATACACAACAGTGCTTAACCATTAGCCGCCCGGCCAATGGTCGTTTGGCGGCTTCAGATGTGCCTCTTTATTCCGGGTGCACGCCATTTGGCGTGCTCCCGCACATGCGCCGTTTGCGGTAATGCAGAGCGGCGCAGCAGCGGGATCTGTCACGGGCCGTGCACCTCGGACACGGCCGATGACAGATCCGAGTACCGGCTCCCGTTGCTGGTACCATGTGACCTGCTGTGACCAATCACAGCAGGTCACATGACAGTTGTATACAATGGATGGCTTCATTCATGATGCCATCCATTGTATACTAGTGCCTAGCTGTGAATGGTCACAGCTAATCACATGCACATGTCATGTGATTAGCTGTGACCAAATCACAGCTAAGCACACAAAAAAAAAAAAAAAAAAAAAAAAAAAAAAAAAAAAAAAAGCTGAATGAATCGATTTCATTCAGGTAAATGCTTGCATATAGCAAAGTAATTCTTTGCTATAAGCAAATTGTGTAAAAAAAAAAAAAAAAAAATACTGATCACTTCCCCAAAGTAGGACAGTGTTACTATGGTAACATTGTTCTACTTTGGTCATAGTAAAATATGAAAAAAAAATCTTAAAAAAAATAAAAAAAAATGTAATAAAAAATTTAATATAATAAAAAAAAAAAAAAATTTAAAAAAATATATATATATATTTTTTTTTCATACTGTCACCAGTCAGTGTCCCTGTTAACCGCCATGCCAGTTATATGATGACGCTGTACTGCACTGGTGACAGTATGTAAAAAAAAAAAAATAGTGAAAATAATTTTTTTAATTTTTTCATTTTCCGAAAAATTATGACATAAAAATACAACTTCAAAAAACTCGCCATGCCTCTTATGAAGTACGTCGGACTGTCTACTCTGCAAAAAGGGGTCATTTGGGGGATATCTGTACTGTTCTGACATTCTTGGACCTCAAGAAATTAGATTGGCTGTCAGTACTTCAGGATTGATCAATATTCAGATCTATACCATAGTTTGTGAACTCTATAACTTTCCTACAAACTAAAAAATACATCCTAATTTGGGTTATTTGCACCAAAGACATGTAGCAGAATACATCTCGCCTAAATTTATGAAGAACAATTATTTATTTGTAAACTTTTCTAACAGAAACAAAGAAAATGTGTTTTTTTTTTTCAAAATTTTTGGTCTTTTTTTGTTAATTTAGCAAAAAATAAAAACCCCAGCAGTGATTAAATACCACCAAAAGAAAGCTCTAGTTGTGTGAAGAAAATTATAAATTTTAGTTTGGGTACAGTGTTGTATGACCGCGCAATTGTCATTCAAAGTGTGAGAGCGCTGAAACCTGAAAAATGGCCTGGGCAGGAAGGTGTAAAATTGCACGGTATTCAAATGGTTAATAAACAAGTGGGTTCATGCTGTAAGAATGGAACTCCATTGTCCCCTAGTGGCAACTTTTTTTGGGGGTACAATAGGAATCAGGAA